AGGCGGGCAGGGTGAGTCGGGTGCGGTGGGAAGTGCCTGCAGAAAGGTCTCCCCTGGCCCCCTGCGCACGGGACCCAGCAGGCCACGGGGGAGCAGAGGTGTGGGGGGGAAGGCTCTGCCTCTTCCTGGGATGAGAGCAGCCCCTTGATGCAGCTTCCCCGCCAGTGTCCTCCGGCACTCTGTCTGTGGGAGAGAAGGGGTGCCGCATGTCAGGAGGGCACTGGGCTGGGGGAGGCTGCCTCACCCCCGTCTTCTCCTGCAGGAGGAAGGAGCAAAGGCCACCCCTGGCAGTGGAGCTCCCCCCAGCGGTTCTGGCGGAGGAGGACTCATGGAAGAAATGAGTGCCAAGTTAGCCAGGCGGTGAGTGGGCACAGCCCTGGTGGAGTTTGCCCATTTTTGGAGGGCAGCCTGGCTTTGGTGACCTCTCAGGCTGTGGGACCTTGCCCCTCCCTGGCATCAAAAGGGCCTGTAGGGGATGGGGGAGCCCTGGCTTTGCCGGCCAGAAATGCCCTGTTTGGCCCTCCCAGCGTCGTGAAATGGTTTTGCCAAGCAGGGGCTGGAAACGCTGCTGTCAGGAGGGGGCGCTGGGCAGGACCCCCCTAGCTGGTCTGGTACAGCGCAGCCTTTGTGTTGTGGGGGGAGGTCTTTTTGCAGCTGGAAGAGTAGTGCTCTTGTGAAGGTCGTTGGCTGGCAGGACGGCGGGGGGGTGTCAAAGGGTGAGGGAGCTGCTTTAAGAGCCAGAAAAGGTTACCTAGTTTGCATCTTACTTTTACAAAAAAAAAAGGGGGGGCGAGAAATTGTGTCCCTGAAAATCAGTGATTTTGCTGCTGAGTTTCAGCTGCTTGGTCTGGATGGTCCAGTGGAGGCTGAGGTGTCACATGTGGCTGATGGCACACAGGATGCCTTAACCAGTGGCACCCATGTTGTCTTTGGAATAGTTCTTGGGCATGTGGCTCCCTGGCATTCCCCCATCCCTCCCTTTTGGGAGCAATTTAGGGTTCCCCCCACCCCGCATACTTTTAAACAAGCCAGCTGGCCAAGAACAGTTCTTCTGCTTGCTTCAAGCACTCGGGGCGCAAGCTTAGCCTCTTTCTCTCTCTTCCCCCAGAAGGAAAGTTGCAGAGCAAAGCGAGAAGTCCATTCCAAAGAAGGAGGAAGGCCCTGCGCCCGTGAGTGTGGGCGGTGCCCCTGAATGCAGGGCTAGCAGAACATTTCCCACCCTGGCAGCCCCAGATGCATTGGACTCCGAAGCCCGTCGCCAGCACGTTAGCTGGTGTGGGAGGGAGGGGGAATTCTTTCATCACAGCCCCCGTCCCTGCCTTTTCAAAACAGCGCTAAGCCCCTTTGCTCCCTTGGCTTGGCTTTGTGGCTGCAGAGTGCCAGGTGCCAAACAGAATCCAGCAAAAGGACACCCCCCCCCGTGCCCTTTTGGTTAGGCTGCTCCTGCCAAAGGGGTCGCTGTGGGAAGGAGGAAGCAGTGAGTGGGCACAGCAGGCGAGTTGGCAGCCCCCTGACCATTTGCCCGTCTCTTTTGCCCCCAGCAAGAGGACGCTGAAGCCACTGGTGCCAAGCCCACAGGTAGGTGCAAGATGGACGTTTGCCTTGGCTGCTGCAAGACACCCTCCAGGGGACCCTCTGGTACCTGGGCTGCCCGAGAGGCTTCCTTCTGCTCACCCCGGACAGGCACAGGCAGAAAGGTTACGAACCAGCTGTATTCACACTACTTGCTTAGCCTGGTTATGGAATTGGCCCATTTGCTGGGTTGCCCGACCCATTAACCCAAGTAGCCTGGATTCATGCGACACACCAGAAACATAACCAGGATTAAAACTAGCTACACTTGGCAAGTTGTGTGAACACAGCCACTATGTTTGTAACTGGTTAAGTCAACACCGCCACTGTGGTTTGGCCCTAGGCTGGGACAAAGGATCCTTCGCCCCCCTCAGAGCAAATGGCCAGAACTCCCCAGAACATAGTAAATTTCAGCCTTCTATCTGGGTGGGATGCTCCCATTTTAAGACCCCCCCCCCTCCAAAAACAGCGGAATGCTTTCCATCGTTTCCTCCCTCTCACAGAATACGGTTATGGAGAATCTCTGCTTTCTTTTCTTTACAAAAAAGTTCTAGTCCCCGTGACTGAGAGAGAATAAAAGGGTGTGAAAGGACCTTCTAAATGTAACCCCATCACACTTTGACCTGGGTCATATATGAGAAGGTGAGAGCAGGTGCAGTGACGACAGGAAATAGCTGGAGTCAGCTCGGCAAGCGAGCCAAGCTCCGTGGAAGATATAAGTGAAATGTACGTGCTGGAATCCTGGAAATGGGGGAAGAGCTAAAGAGGACGTCAGTGGCGAGGGGCTGGGTGTTTCCCCTTCTGTTAGTCCCTTGTGGCTAGCAAAGTGAGAGAGTGGTATATGGGGGTTTCTGAGTGAAGAATCTGGATTGGAGCACGAATGGGGGAGACCTTGCACCCCCAGCACGCTCCCCACAGCCTTGCCTCTCTCGATTCCTGCAGATGCCTTCCGGAGGCCTTGGGAGAAGACCAGTACGACATTACCCAGGTGAGCAGCACGCCCCCGTTGCTCCTGAGAGCCCTGCAGCGGGAGGGGGCTCTTCTCCTGCCCCCCACAAGCCCGTTCCTCGGAAGCAGCCTCAGAGAGAGCAGGGACAAGCCGAGCCTTCTTGTGCATGCACGAAACCACCTGCTCCTCCCCACTCCCGCCCCCAGGCCATGTCTCAGTCTCTCTCTTCCCCCCCTCAGGACAGCTGTGACTCAGAAGATCTCTGCGCCCCCCGCCCCAGCCCGGCCTCAGGTCGGCCACTTTAGGTATCAGGCAGGAGGGCTGGGGAGGCTAGGACCCCCAGGACTATGGAGCGTAGTTGCGTTTCCTGCCGAAAGCGGGGGAGCCGCTTTCGCCAGCCGGGTGCCCCAAAGGCCCCTTCATCCAGGGAGGGGAGTGGGGGCCGGCAGGGCTCCACTGGGAGGGCTGGGTGCGGGGTCTCCCTTGGCTCGCTCTGCCCACCGGAAGGTCCAGCTCCAGGGTGAGAACGGGGCCGAGACGTTTCCAGGCCCTGCCGCCGTCCCGGCCGTGGGGTTTCGCAGC